AACGGAGCCAAACGTTTGTGCATTCTTGTATGTACCATAATTATGTATTAATGTTATTTAAATAAATTTCAAATATTCCAGTTTGCGTGCCATCAGCTAACCGTTCATGCCAGCCGTTCATGCCAGCTGTTTTGAGTTGGCAATACTTAGGGCAACTGTCATTTTCAGTTTATCACCGAGCAGCTGTCTCGCTTTCGCATGGAGCGAAAATTGCATGTTGTGAAATAAACATTCATAAATGAATGTGATATATTATATTTGTGAAAATAAAGTTCAGGCCAAATGATTGTGCATACTTGTATGTGCATAGATATATACGAATATATAAATATGTACGTATATTTCGTATATATTTTAAATTGTAGTCATAATTAATATAAGGCACATTATTTTTAAAATTAAACGCACAATTAATATCTACACATATTAGGAGGACTGGAAAATTGGAGAGGAAATCACTTTAAGCTTCTTCCTATTTACCGAAATGCATGAAATGCACGCATTATGTAAAATGCAGTATAAGCCTAAGCAGTGTTTTTAATCTCCCAACCTAGCAACGAAGAAGCGTCAAAATATACCAACTTATTAAACATTAATCGTCCTGTCAGAAATCCAATTAGACGGATAACAGGCCAGCATTTAAAAATTAGCACTTCCTTGTTTGGGAAAGGATAGTGGACTGACAGGTTATAAAATAGGCTATACCATGTTGAAATGACTGTAGGGTGTGATAGTGAGCGATTGTGAATTTACGTTTATATGTGTGCATCGTCGAACTCATACAAATGACCCGATATTGTACTATATATGTACGACCAATAATGAAACAAATCGAACCTAGTTTTCACAATGATTTTCAATACATGTTCCATCTCTTTCCCGTATTTGCCTAAATGCAAATCTATGGCGGCCATAACTATGTGAAATTAGGTATTTCACAACTTAAATTTTCGATGATGAAATTGTCTTGTATAAATCCAAAACCATGGCAGCAATGGATCCAGTACGAGTAAAACGGTTTACAGTTCATTTTTGAGCAAAACTTTAAGCGTAGTAAGAAGTTTTGAATTTAATATTTGCAATAATTAAAAATAAAAAATAAATTTTCCATCACAGAAAAAGTTTCACCATGAGGATCACACGAATTGAACCCAATCTGGTTGCTTTGGCCGAGAAATATAATGTG